GCATGCAAAGGCAAATGCCCTCCCTGCTGTACTATCACTCCAGCCCTAACAGGCACATTTTTCAGTCTGGTTACTGTAGTTTATCTTTTGCTCAGTGTTGTTTAGACATATACACATACCTCACCTCTACAGCACTGATATGCCAGGAGGCTCCTGAGCCCTGGCTCTGTGACCTCTCATCCACCTCTTCTCTCTAGCCACTGCCCACCCCCCCAACCTTGGCCCATGGTGTCTTTCATTCCCTGTCCTTTTTATTTCTATGACCTAGGTTCCAGAGTCATCTGGGGATCTCCACTTTTATACTTGACGTTCCTTCCTCCTGCTTTCCTCCTATCCACAGATAAAAAATTTCAACATGGAAAAAGTAACTTCCAGTATGGGAAATATTAGACCATGGAAAAAGTAACTTCCAGTATGGGAAATATTAGACCATCTATGGTCTCTATTCAGTAGTATTATTATATATAGCAAAAATCTTTTGGATTTTTTTTTTTTTGGTTTTGGCCTCTAGGTGGTTCTCAAGACTTACTCCTGATTCTGTGTTCAGGAATCACTCCCAGCAAAGCTCAAGGGACCGTATACATTGGTAGAGATCAAACCCAGGACAACTACGTAAAGGCAAGTGCCTCACCTACTGTAGCATCTCTCTTGCCCCAATTTCTTTAGAGTAAAATTCCACCAGTGGGAATGGAATAATACTCTTGCAGTTGTCACATGCTGTGACAACTTTTTCCTTCTAATAAATCTATTAGGAAACATAAAGCTGTTCTGGAGAAAGGAAAAAAAGCTCATCTTGACCCATCTAAACTACTTACCTTCAATATGTAGACGATGACTCAGAACTTTCTGGAACATCTACCTGGTATTCAAGGTAGAACCACAGTCATAACATAGGTAGACCTTATTTCAAAGATGGCAGCAGCCAGTAACCCAGGACAGGATGTCCCAAGCAGCCTAAGGAAACCCAGCTACTATTAATATAGCTGGAAAAAAAAGTGTCACCTCTGTTGGCAGGATCTCCAAGTGCCGAGTACACTTGGCATGTTCTTAGGCCATACACAAAGAACAGCAGGTCCCTTCCGAGAACAGTGCTAATATAGTGTTCACAGGATATTGAAAAAATGATACATAAACACAACTGTAAGAGTGGCTCACGAAAGAGCAGAAGCTAGACACCCAATGGGATATGGATTGCACCATTTCAACGATGTCAAATTCAAAACGAGCAGTAACCTCTGCAATCAGAAGTCACACAGGGCTTCTCCAGGCAAGGGAAGGGAAGGGCAATATTAAGAACCAGAAGGGGGCCCCAAGGGCTTCAGGGCCCTGATATATCCTAAATGCACTGGATGTTAGATATGGGTGTATCTGATTTTGTGATACCTCAAATCACAGAACACTTACGATTTATGCAATTTCCCCTATCAGAAATTGGGCTGGAGCGATAGCACAGCGGGTAGGGCGTCTGCCTTGCATGCAGCCAACATGGCCGACCCGAGTTCGATTCCTCCGCCCCTCTCGGAGAGCCCGACAAGCTACCAAGAGTATTTGATTCGATATGCCAGATACAGTAACAACAAAGTCTCCAATGGAGACGTTACTGGGCCCGCTCAAGCAAATCGATGATCAACGGGAGGGCCCCTATCAGAAGCCGGAAGCTTCCAGTGTCACACACACAACTTCTATTATATTTTCCATACACAACTTTATTATAACTGTAATTTTAACTTTTTAAGAATTATTACAAAAGCAACTCTTAGTCAATGTGGCATATATCCCCAAATAACTTTTTTTAAGGACCTACCTGTAATCCCATTACCCAGAGATAACTTCTGGCTACATTTTCAGAACAACACTGTAGCACTCTAGCACTGTCCTCCCGTTGTTCATCGATTTGCTCGAGCGGGCCCAGTAATGTCTCCATCGTGAGACTTGTTGTTACTGTGCTTGGCATATCGAATACGTCACGGGGAGCTTGCCAGGCATTGCACAGGGATCACTTATTCTCATCGGCTTTTTTTTGTCCCACTCACCCCCACCCCCACCCCCAGACACACTTTATTTAAGCACCATGGCTTACAAAGTTGTTTATGATAATTTGTTACAGGCATTCAGTATTCCAACACCAATCCCACCACCACTGTCACCTGCCCGCCACCACTGTCTCCATTTTCCCAACCACCCCTCAGGCCTGCCCCCACATCAGGAAGGGCCACAATAATTTATTTTATATGGTTTGTTACCATCAAATGGCTAATGGAATGATCAAAAGATAATTCAGTAAAAGAAAGGTTGTGAAAAAAAATTGTTGCATTTTGTGGCTGGAGCAATAGCACAGCGGGTAGGGCATTTGCCTTGCACGCAGCCAACATGGCCGACCCAGGTTCGATTCCCAGCATTCCATATGGTCCCCCAAGCACCGCTAGGAGTGATTCCTGAGTGCATGAACCAAGAGTAACCCCTGAGCATCGCCAGTGTGACCCAAAAAGCAAAAAAAAAAAATCGTTGCATCTCGCCAGAGGAACATTAAGTTCTGAGGGTTTACTAAACTGATGTTGCTAGTTGAGCCGTCTGTGTTCCTGCTTTGTTAAGTTTCATTGACTTCTACTTGACACTCCCATCCAATCTGCTCCTACTGGGATGTTAGCATTGTAGAGTTTGGAGATGTGGCTCAAAATAATCTAGAATATTTAATTGGGCAGTCCAGCCTGAGGCACGGCAGCAGTTGCTGGGGTGTGAGTGCAGCTGCCAGGGCTTTGGTAGGGTGTAAACTTGGCTTCCCCCTACCCCATCCCTGCTGCACCCCTCCCTCCCAGAGGTTGCCCCAGGAGTCTCATAAGGGACCCCGGGTATCTGAAAAAGTTTTGTGGCAAGTTAAACTCTTTTGAATTTAATTATGAATCTTTAGAATCTTAGAATCTACCAGGGCTGGTAGATGAGCTTACATGGTGGAGGTTGTGGGATGTGGGTGTGGCTGCCAGGGTTTCTGAAGTATGAGGAGGTGGGGTGAAGTCATTCATCCTGACTCCGAGAAGGCCTGCACCATGACCTTCTTTAACTCAATATCAAAAGTCATTCTGTGACACCAATCTTCAGCAACATCCATTCAAGTGTCATGTTGCAATCCTTACCAAATAGATATAAAAAAAATAAGCTAGTAATGCATGTGTGAGACTCAGAATCAAATTTCCAGCACCACCCAGGCCCCAAGACACCAGTGGAAGTGGTGCCTATTAAAAAAAATTAACAGTAATAACACTTGCTAGACATTTAGTTTGTTGGACACGTACCATCATTATACCATCATTACAATCAATATTGCAATAATTATGTCTTATGCTGGATCTATAACTATATCTACAGCTATTTCCTCAACACAAATTCCCTATGGAATATCTGGATCAGAGGTTTTACAAAAAAAATAGTTCCAGGTTGGAGTTGGGCTCATAGGAAAATCCCAACAGCTGTGTTGAAATAGTTCCTACTCTTGAAGAGTTCTTTCTTTTGAAGAGTGCAGAAGTGAGCTAAAACAATGCAGTTTAAACTCGGAGATTTTTCTCTCTACATCTAGGACTTCTAAAATAGATCCCAGAGAGTACATAACAAGCCCAAACTGTAAAGGTTCCCAGAAAATGCATAGCACCATCTACATGAGATTAAAACTAGTCTAAGCCTGAAGCTCAAATTCAGAGTGTGGGACAGTCTCCTGAGTCCCAAATCAGCAGCCAAGAAGTGACACATGGCAGACAGTTGTCATCCAGATGGTCCTCATACATTTTCTTTAGGAAAGGTTTGCAAAGTTGTCACCCTTCAATCAGAAGCATCTCAGAGGCAAAGCAGTTTCTGCACTTCAGGCCCTCGAGATGCCTGGGTTTTGTCAAGCAAGAAGCTGGGCGTTCAGATAGGCAGGAAAGGACCATCTGGGCTCCTCAGTGCCAGCTTTGAACTAAGTGACAGTTTCTTGCCTCTTTTTCAGTTTATGAAACTCTGACTTGAATATGTTCTGGTCTAGATAGTGCCAGTGTGCATTTATTCAAGTGTAGAAAACTACTGTTAAAATTCTGTAAACCGGGGTTGTATAGATAGTACAGAGGGTAAGGCACTCAACTTGCATGTGGCCAGCCAACAGAGATTTGATCCCTAGCACCCCAAGTGGTCCCCTGAGCACCACCAGGAGTGATCTCTATCACAGAACCAGAAGTAAGCCCTGAGCATGTTCAATAAGGCCCCCAGACAAAACAAAATAAAATTCTACAAATGGAAAACTGATCATTCTGTAAGTTATTGTAGGGAAATAAACTCCACTATCTGCAACTTGGTAAGATCAAAACTAAGCTGGAAAAACAGGGCATCTTCTCCTCTGAGCCACCTGCTGACTCTTCCATCTCCTCTGGTCTCCCCTCACCCTTCCTTCAAGGAGTGTGCAGTCTGTTTCTTATCTTCCTTTTAGAAGCAAGATTTATTGGGGGAGAATCAAGAACAAGAGCTCAGGATGAGTTCAGCTCCACAGCCCCAAGACTAGAGATATATTGGTCCCACCCACAGACATCCAGGATGAACCACTTTTAAGCCCCTGTGTCTTCAAACTCATCTGTATTAAACTTGAGGGAAAAACCCACTTCTCTGAGATGGAATTCTGGCAGACAGGGAAATTGAACTTAGACTGATATAAAGTCAAAATCACGGGGCTGGCACAGCATTTGCCTTGTACAAGGCCAACCCAGGTTCGATTCCCAGCATCCCTTACAGTCCCACAATCACCACCAGGAGAAATTCCTGAGTGCAGTATCCCCTGTGCATAGCCAGGTGTGACCCAAAGAGAAAAAAAAAATAAGCCAAGATCACACACTCTTGGTTCTGTGGCTCAGCAATGAGCACGATGACTTGACAAATGGACACTCACCACTGTATCACTGGATTTTCCAAAGGGATCTGGTATACCTGTGTAGAGCCTAAGAATTGGGACAACATGACATTTGATATGAATGTCCACCACAAAACACTGCCTTCAGTATCCTTAGGACAGCCTCTACATGCAACAGGTTGTACAGAGACAGTTTCAAAGAGAATGTTATTTGCAGCGACTGCACACTGGGCCCCAGGAGAAAGAAAGTATGATTGGCTTCACTGTCTATAGATACACTCTGTTTCTCCTACTGAGGATACCTAAAATCCAGCAGCCAGAAATGAATCTCCTGGATTCATATTCTGCCTTTACTTTTACTTTAGACAGACAGAAGGTGAAAAGGATCTACTATTTCTATCCCAAGAAAATCAGAACATCTAAAACAAGCGGTGTGGAGACCTAAGACAACAGGAGTATTGTTGGCAAATGTGTTTCTCTAGAAACACATTAATGATCAGAGTAGAATTCATTCTCCCCCAGAGAACAAACTAGTGCAAATATTGACAAGCAGTGACATTCTCTGTCTAGCCTATGCCTGGGCCTTTGGTGAATGTGAAATATGCAAAACACATGTGACAAAAAAACACATGCATCCATGTAACGGTCTGATACAGAAGTGGTTTAAAACCTTGAATCCATACCTTAGGAAAACATAATAGAGATGCAATATTTTTTTAACTGGGTATGTATGGTTCAGGGCATTGCTCAGAGAACCCTACTGGGACCTCCTACATGAGTAGCATGAACTCTAGTATTTGAGCTAACTCCTAATCATTTACTGAGTGGGAATTCTCAACCCTAGCTCCACTAACAGCTGGACTGAGACCTGCCCTGTGTATCGTTGGATGTTCAGCAGTGACCCTGGCCTCCTCCCACTAAGCACCAATAATAACCCTCAAGTCTCTAGGCACTGCCCATTGTCCCCTGAGGGGGATAAAAATCCCCCTATAGAGAACCATTGTATTGGTGGGATTCAGCATGGTGGGATTGGGAACACATTCTACTAGAATAGGGTCTAGCTGGACTCAGCAGATGGTTCACTGCACAACTCATAGCTCACGCTCTCTGAGCGTCTGTGAAAGCATCGGTCTTGAGCCAAGGTGCACACTTGAGGGAAAAACATGAACATACACAGTCAGGACTCTGAGAAATCAAGGAAAGGAGGAACAATGAAAGAATATCTCCACAGGAAGAATCAACCCTGATACAACTCTTCAGAGTTGTCCCAACTTGAAGCCAGAAAATTAGACCTCTGTATCCGCACATTGAGCTTCCCTCTCCACCCTGAGCAGAGCCCCGGCAGCCACAGATCTCTGGTACCCAGTCACAGCCATGCTCAAGGCCACTCTCCACATGCTCAGATGAGCCTCATGCATGAAGGAACCAGCAGAGGAACCCAGGTGCATAGCTCCCAGAGCTGAGATCTCCAAGCCTGCTCGGATCAGAATTGGGCCTCCTCCACCCAGATCCCCCATTTTCCACTAGCTAGGCAGTTACACCCACAAACTGCCCCAGGCACCATGAAATCCCATAAACAGCCAAGATCCAGAGACTACAAAACAAAGCTCCCGGAAGTGTGTGTGGCCAAGTACACAGCTGTGCAAACTCTTATAGTCTAGGTCTCCTTCTGGGATAACCATGCAAGCTACCAAGAGTATCCTGCCCGCATGGTAGAGCCTGGAAAACTCCTGTGGCATATTCAATATGCCAAAAACAGTAACAATGATGTGTCTAATTCCCCTGACCTTAAAAGAGCCTCCAATGCAGCACTGTTGGGAAGGATGAGTAAGAAGAGACTGTTAAAATCTCAGGGCTAGGACGAATGCAGATGTTACTGCTGCCCACTCAAGAAAATCGATGAATAATGGATGACAGTGATGAAAATGATCCCCACATCAACCAGGCATCAGCTCTGGACTCCCCACTAGAAGAAGCAGAGCCTTGAACGAGGTGGTTCCCTTCAGCACAGGGTAAGGCTAAATCGGGACATATGTAAGCCTGAATTCAATATCAGCTCTCCTTCAACAGATGGATGAAGAGTCTTGCATCTTAATGCTATGGGAGTAACTCACCAGAAGGTATATAATACATGCGGCAGAATATATGCAAGGGCTTCAGAATCCTATCAGCTCAAAGGAAACCCAGCTACCCTTGGACAGCATGGTCTTATTTCTTTTCTAATCATTGATCTCCTTTTATGCCCTACCACAGGGACAGGGTGGGATGGGAGGGATGGGGGTGGGAGGGATACTGGAATCCTTGGTGGTGGAGAATGGGCACTGGTGGAGGGATGGGTAATCGATCATTGTATAACTGAAACCCAAGCACAAAAATTTGTAAGTCTACAACTATACCTCATGGTGTTTCACTAATAAAATTTTTTTTAAAAAAATCATTGGTCTCCTTTTAAGCTTGCAGACCCTATAACTCCAGTGTGTCATTGTCATCAAGTACAGATCAAAGGTCACTGCACCAGACATTCTGTATATAACAAAGGACACTGCACCAGGCATTTTGTATATAACAAAGGACACTGCACCAGGCATTCTGTATATAGCAAAGGTCACTGCACCAGGCATTCTGTATATAGCAAAGGTCACTGCACCAGTGTGTGCAGATTCTTTTCTTTGAGTCTTCGGCATATAATGTTCCAATTCCTTCACAGCATCCATTTCCCTCCACCAATGTCTTCCACTCCCTGATCTGCCTCTATGAAAGGCAATTTTTACTTTTGTCCTTCCCCTCCCCCTCAAACCCAATCTTTTAGGCACTGTGGTGCACCAGGCATTCTTAAAACAGAGCAAGGAACCAAACAGAGCTGACCTTTGAACAACCTGGGTGTGAGAGGTGTTAACCTCCCATGCAGTCAATTTTCACATATAACCTTGACTCCCCAAGACTTAACCACTCATAGCCTGCTACTGTGATAGCACTGAAGCTACTGTGATAGCTTAAAGTTCTGTGATAAGAGTGGAGTCACACAGTTTGTGTATTAGGTGTCTTCTGGACTCTAATCTGTTCTCAAGAAAGTCACCGAGACACAACTTCCATCTTTCAAACCCTGTCTGTCTCCTCCACTCACCCGCAGATTTTGTTCTAATGGATAAATTTAGAGGGCAAGGAGCACAGTTAGCCTAGATTTAAGAAAATGGTCAAATCTACCAGGTCAGGTTGCAGCCAGAGGAAAAAAAGAGTGACCACTGTCTTTTGGTAAGCAGCTAGGATCTAGACCTGCTTTATGTGACAAAAAACAATGTGAATTTATCACTTTCAGAGAAAGAAAAGTATCATAGGAGTCAGTTCTCACTGCAAACCACAATGCCCATAAGGAGAGTGAGAGAGAGAGAGAGAGAGAGAGAGAGAGAGAGAGAAGAAAAGTGCCTGCCATAGAGGCAGGCTGTGTGTGTGGGAGGGAGGGGGCAGGGGATTAAGAGGTGATGGGAGGGAACCTGGGGACACTGGTGCTAGGAAATGTACACTGGTGAAGGGATGGTTGTTGGAACACTGTATGACTAAAACTTAATCATAATGCAGATCAAAATTTGATATCAAAAGATGATATCAATGAGATATCATCTCACACTACAGAGACTGGCACACATCCAAAAGAACAAAGGCAATGGGTGTTGGCATGCATATGGGGAGAAGGGGACTCTCCTTCATTGTTGGTGGGAATGCTGACTGGTTCAGCCCTTTTGGAAAACAATATGGACGTTTCTCTAAAAGTTAGAAATTGACCATTTTACCCAGCAATACCACTTCTGGGAATATATCCCGGAAATGCAAAAAACATACAGTAGAAATGACCTCTGCACTTGTATGTTTACTGCCGCACTATTTACAAAAGTCAGAATATAGAAAAAATCTGAGTGCCCAAGAACAGATGACTGGTTAAAGGAACTCAGGTACACCCACACAATGGAATACTATTCAGCTACTAGAAGAGATGAAGTCATGAAATTTGCATATAAGTGGATCAACATGGAAAGTATCATGTTAAGTGAACTGAGTAAGAAAGAGAGCGACAGACATAGAAGGACTGCACTCATTTGCAGAACATAAAGTAACATAATGGGAGACTAACATCCAAGGATAGTAAAGATAAGGGCCAGGAGGATTCCTCCAAGGCTTGGAAGCCAGTCTCACATGTTGGGGGAAAAGGAAGCTGGGATAGAGAAGGGATCATCAAGCAAAGGATGCTTGGAGGGCTCACTTGGGATGGGAAATGCATACTGAAAATAGACTATACACCATACATGATGGCCACTTACTACCTGTATTGCAAACCATAACACCCGAAAGGAGAGAGAGAGTAAAAAGGAATGTACCTGCCACAGAGGCAGAGGAAGGGGAGAGGGGTGTGGAGTGTTGTGAGGCATACTAGGAATATTGGTGGTGGAGAATGGGCACTGGTGGAGGGATGGGTACTTGACCAATGTATGACTGAAACATAGTCACAAAAGTGTGTAAATCTGTAATTCTGTCTCACGGTGTTTCATTAAAAATTTTTTTTAAAAAAGAACTTAACAGCTTTGTGAAGGTCTATCTCACAGTGATTCAATTAAAAAAATCTAAAAAAAAAAAAGAAGATACAAAGTATTCAAGAAAAAAATAGTAAAAAACTAAAGCTGAGAATACCTAGAAATTTTGATGTTTGAAGGAAAAACATCTTTTAGTTCATCTGGTGAGCTTTATTTATGAGTTTTCACTAGCAAAGTATTTTTGGTGATGCGTTATTTTCTTTTAATTCAACAACCAAAAATGGTCATAAAATAAATTTTAAAAGTACTTTTGAAAAACCGTGTCTGTGTGTTACCTGTAGAAAAGGTTTCAGACTTTGGTACAGCTACACAATGGAATACTATGCAGCTGTTAGAAAAGATGAAGTCATGAAATTTGCTTATAAGTGGATAGACATGGAGAGTATCATGCTAAGTGAAATGAGTCAGAAAGAGAGGGACAGATATAGAAGGACTGCATGCATTTGTGGAGTATAAAATAACAAAACATGAGACTGACACGCAAGGACAGTAAATACAAAGGCCAGGAAGATTGCTCAATAGTTGGAAGCCTGCATCATGAGCAGGTGGGGGGGTGAGGGTGGAGAAGGCAGCTGGAATAGAGAAGGGATCACTAAGAAAATGAGGGTTGGAGGAATCGGTTGAAATAAGAGATGTGTGCTGAAAGTAGATAAAGGAACAAGCATGATAGCCTCTCATTATCTGTACTGC